ACACACAAACCTGTGCACCTGCGCATGGGCGCACGCACAGAGAACACATCCACATCTCAAGAGGATGAAATTCTGAGCCTGCAACGGCAAAACCGGGATGTTCCAGTCTCTGGAGACTAAACTAAAGGTAAAACAGCAAATTCCTGCAAAAGCAAAAACAAAATAGTGTCAGTAGCAACGAGAGAACAGCGAGCACTGTCTTGTTAACATAACTGCTGCTGCTCAGGAGCCAAATTGGGTTTTTCGCTGTTGCAGCTCATTTATCTGTTTATACTAATTAGATGAACTCATAGCTCTTTCATTACAGTCTCTCCCCCCCTTTCCTCGTCAACAGACGTGCATCCTCTCCTCAAATCGATGCATTGAGTAATAACCTTGTGGCTGCAAAACACTTCGAAAGCATCCAGCGGAGATGCCGCATGGCGCACAAAGGCTTTCCTTTCATGCCTCGGTGAATCGCGTTCCGGGGCCATGTCAAAAAGATTCTGCGTGGCATCCGTCTTCAAGATCTTCTGACTGCTACCGGGTTAGAGGCGAGCAAAACAACGCTGCGAGGAATCAATTTCATATTCCACACGTGAGCGTCATGAGGCAGCACGGACTCGTCTGAATACTTTGAGGATGTCTGGAAATTAAGTGCAGCTATAAAAGGTTGTTGTGTGTAACATGAATAGCTATTAGGAGCGACTCTGCTGTGATACCGCAACATGACTTGTCAACTTTCCATCACATCGGTAGGCTTTTGTGCAAACGGGACCACACGTCAGTTAAACTAAAAGGGAATTAACTACATTTTTCTTTGGAGAGCGTCCAAACTTGATTCCGAGAACCCCACATCTCATACTTACAGTTGATGTGACATTTTAATAAAGCCACGGGTGCGGAACGACGACACCACCAGGAGCTCTTTTGAGACAAATAAGATTAAGTCCCAGTTTGTCCTTCCTCCTCCTGCTCGCAGAATACAGAGCTGTGCCCCTTACAGGATTGATTTAATTTCAATTTGCATAAAATTACACCAAACAGCAGCGAGTGAAAGGTCACAGGGAAGAGACGGGGCGTGTGCTTTCACCGGTTGGTTTAGCTTGATACACGATTCAGACGCCTGAACTCGTTGATTCTCGTTCACTCAAGAGAGGAGTGACTTGGGGGGGACATTGTTACCTGGCAGACGTACGCGTGGGGGGGGGGGGGGGGGAGACACAAGTCCTGAGCTTACACAACAGCCCTGCAGAGATCAAAAATCCATACTGTGCTAATTCTATAAGAGGACAAAAAAGAGAGAATGGAGGAACAAGGCACGGAGGAGGACGAAGACAGGAAGGAGGGGGGGCGGTTGGCTGCGCTCCCCAGCAAGTCTGCTGTGTGTGAGAAAGCAGATGTGGCCTACAGAGGATTAAATAACACACCGAGACACGCACGCAAGCCGTGTGCACGTACGCGCACGTGCACACGGCGGCGGTACGGATGCGTATGGACATTCACAGTTCTCTTTTGTGGCTTCTTCTTACTCCTCTTGCTTACTTCCCATCCTCATCCCTCTGGAGGCCAACAGGAGGGGTCGCCATGCTGTCTCTCTGAGCCGGACAGCAGCTTTAACGGCCCGACTTTTCCTTGGCCTAAAACCAAATAACTCCATCTATGTGCATCCCTACTTCTCCGTCCCGTTCCCTAGTGGTGTCCATTGTGCCTGTACCCTCTTCTCCGACTGTCTTTCCGAGTGTGTTTTGTCCCTCCTGGGGGGGGGGGGTTTCGAGCCCACCCGACTGTGAAATGCAAAACCCTGCAGCGAGGAGAATGTGCGTGCTCTGCAACTTCCTCCACCTCTACGTTCGCCCCCCCACCCCCCTCACACACGCACACCCAGACGGTGCTGCTGCTACTGCTGCTGTGCGTGTTGTGGAGTCGCAGGCATGAGATGTAAATGGATGCATCTGAGCACGCTGCCTTGCATATGGAGGTCGCGCCGGAGCGCCCCGCTGCTCCTTCCACATTTAGAAGCGCCGAAGCCATGTGCAATCTGTCCGGAATCCACATATAGAAGCCCATAATGCACCGCGCAGCTACGTACAGACGTTTCACTTGGGTAGGCATCAGGCACTCAGTCTACATGTGTGTACGTGTGTGTGTTTGTGTGTGTGTGTTTCTGTTGAGCCCCTGAGGAATAATATATGTGTTGGAGGGTATGGCGTGTGTGCTGAGGTCAATGACAGACAGCCATTTGTGGTGTCCCGTTACATCCTATCCATCAGGGTCAAGTGCTGTGGATGAGGACACAGATCCTCGAATCCCGATGTTTAGTCTTTACATTTTGGCATCTGCACGCTCAGAAGATGCTGATAAATGTTTAACAGTGAAGCTAAGTGAGGCTTCATCGCCGCGCATGCCAGTTTACAAAATGGCACAACAAAGCACTGGAAACAGCAGCCAAGCAATTCATGTCGGTATAAAGACGCAAAATTACACGTGTACACTTCGCTTTTAGGGAAACTGGGTTCCACATAAACAGTAAATTATGACCAGCCATGCTTGTTCCAAATCCAGCTCAGCCCGGCTGTTTGTTCCCACTCTGAACAACCAACTGTACTGGGATTTGGAAGCGAGACAGCACAGTTCAGTTTGGCACTATTTAGTTCAATAATGGAACAAATAGCAGCCTCAGATGTACCATCTGCAGACCTCCAAAACACTTTCCTCCTTTTCTGCTCCCCATCCCCCTATAACCGCCTGAATCATGCCTCGCAGACACCAACAGGGGACACAGTCATCATTCTTGCCATGGCGTCTCAGGGAGCCATTTAGGGTCCGACTACAACGGCCTCCTATCTCACCATCACGCCCCATAAAAGCATCAGATTCTAAATTGTGCCTGGAACACAGAGGGGGGATTGCTCCGAGCGCGGGTCTCGTTCGGAGGCAGAGCTTTTAAGGCGAGCCACAGCTCATAATTCGTGTATTCAGGAGGGCTCGGTGCCATCTTCAGAACATCTCGGTGCTGTGTGGGGGGGGGGGCAAGTCATAATAATCCTTGTGTTCACAGGGACACCATGCACTCTTTTTATTCCAAATAAGGGTTGTTTTCCAAGAACTTTGATATTCACTCCAATGATTCGTTAGGGGACACAGCTTTCAGTAAAAGTCTACAAATTGGAGAGACTGTATAATATGTGATGTAAGTGATATATTTCCTCCTTCTTAGTGTTTTCTTTCTTTAATTAAGCTTGGTAACAGCATGGTAAAAAAACAAAAACATTTATGCTGTGAAAATGAAACTGGATGTGAACTTTTTAAGCATCAAAAGTGGCTAAAGGTGCAAGAAGCGTGTCGGCTTCCATCTCAGGTGATGCAGATCTGCAGATGCGATCAGGAAAGCAACCTGTGACATTTCATATTTTAAAAGTCTGTTTGTCCTGTAGACCAAAGCCAGGTTCAATAGAAGAGTTTCACCTCTAAAACCAGATACCTGTCATTTAAAAATGGCATCGTCCCACACCAGACAAAAGCTGAATGAGAGCAGATATATGCTTGGTTAAAAAAATTACATTCTCTACATTTATTAAGAGACTTGATGATCTTTAATTCCAAAATGGACGTTGTCTCGGGGAGAAGAAGCTGCAGACATCCCAGTGAGAGGCATCTCCAGCCTCCACAGAGAAGAGCTCTCCCAGCCTTTTGCCTACACACGCAGCTGGCTCTCTCTCCCATTTGCATTATATCGATTTTGATATGCGTGGCTGTGGGTGAGAAACGGGGAGAGACATGCGCTGCGCATATGGTACACGCAGGCCCATGCAATTTAAAAACCATCTGACAGTGAAGCTGGGAGTTGGAGACTTGTTATGAAAAGATGCGTCGGTGGGTAACAGTAGGATGCCAATTAGACTGCTTGGCCACAACGAATGGATCCGCGGTCACGCACCGGTTTCTCCCTCTCCCTCCTCCTCCCTCCATCCTCCCCTCTCACGCATGGAGCAGAGAAGTGTGTGTGTTCCTGAACAATACCAGCATCAAATTTCCATGCAATGATTTTTTTTTTCCTTTGCTCGGTCAGTCGAGTGCAGCATGGAAAGCATCATCACCAGCAGCAGCAGCAATGCAGGCGGGCCGACGGATGCATGGCCCTTATTTTGACTTAGATATGGAAAATGAAGGGTTTGTTTGGTAAAAGACGGTGCACATATGCATGAAAGGTGCAGCTAAATTGAGTTTGTGTAACAAATAAATAGGAAAGACATATTGACTGTTTAAAAAGTAGATATTTTAAGCAATTTTACACCAGGAAATCAGTCACATGACACACACGGGTATAATAAAACACATCTGTGCTGACATCAACAGAACAGATCCGTGTGATATGATGTGTGAGGACCAGTAATGGTGGTGAAGTGCCAGTGCGTCTCCCCACGCATCCATCACCATGTGGCAGCGTGCAGCCGCGTGCTTATCTCTCCACATCCATTCACTTTACTTGGATGGAGGAAGTGTGTGAGGGGGTCAAAAATGTGTGACGCGCAGATGAGAGTTATTCTTTTTCCTGCACTGCCCTCACACATTTTTCCACCACTGCATTTAAAGAGGGAACAAAGCCAGACATGTTAGGGTATCTATTATGAATACGCGAGGGGACTTCTCTCCATACAGGGGTGGGGGGGTCACAACTCAGTAATCTGAGGGATGCAGATGTATTATTCACGACCAATTCGCTCCCTGTTATGGGATTCGGATCTTCAATTTTCCCAAATCGCATTTGACAGCTTTATTACGCGCCGCGTGCGTTCGCATCTTATCCACTTTGCCATCTCTGGGACAATTGTCAGCTGTGTGAGTGATGGAGAGCATTTCCTCTGAACTACACACATTTCACGCTTTTTTTTTTGATGGAGGGAGAGGGGGTGGGGTGGGAGAGAAAGTTGACGCCTGCGTCCCGAGCGCATGCGAACCCACCGGCGAGCGCACTGCGCGGTTCGAGCTCCGCGATGAGGATGAAAGTTGAGACATACCTGCTGCCAGTTTTCCTCCAGCGACGGCATGGCGGAGAAGTAGCCGGTGTCGTGGACGAGCTGAAGTTCCTGAAAGATACTATGGTTCGCTAAGACATCCATTCTGACGCTCGGTGATGGAAAACAAGAACGATGCACAAGAAATATGCCTCCTGCCTTGGCTGTGTCAGACCTCTGCATCCACTTCTTTCATATTAGTCCATGAGAGGAGATTAATTGCTCAGTGCGGCGTCTCGAGATGTGGCGATTAGGGCCCCTGTACCTGCGCGCATAATCGGACTCGGTGCGTAAAAGAGACAGGGGGTGATGGAGGCTCCATGCGTATCCGTGTTGCCAAACTAGACACTGATAGGGAGCCAAAGGAGGGGAGGGGCTTGTAAACGAAGGGGAGTTGTTCGGTTCGTCAATCAACTCCTCTGCCTGTCCATTTAAGGCGAAGGGGCGGTGGAGGATTCGTCGGAGCCGCGGCGGAGCGTGGAGGGGCGGGGTTAGGCAGATTCAGCGGGCGGGATTGGCCCCGGAGCCACGTCACTCAAGTCGAATATGGGCTCGATAGGTGAGCTATTTATGGATGGGTATATTAGATTTGGAAGAAGGTCTGAAAGGCTAGTCTGAGAGGAGAAGCCTGGTGTAAACATCATGTGCTCACAAACAGGAGCTGGAAACAGTATTAATATGCTGCTATATTGTTCCACTGTGTAAATGTGGAATCATAATGAGATGCAGGATGGGGCATTAGACTGTAGGGGAAATGTGTAGAGTGTATAGAGACTCTATGCTTTGATAATGAGTTTAAACTTATCATACTTGCTGATATTTATCTCCATAATGCTGTTTTGCAGTGTTCCTGCAGACTGTATTATTGGTTTGAACTATGAATATTAAAGATTTAGTTTGTTCATTCTATATTTTGAATGTCATGGTAACACAACAGAGACTTCCTCACAAGCCGTTCACTGAGGTTGAAAGTCATATGGACTGTTCATCAGGCTGGAGGCTTCTTACACTGACCCACATTGATCAAGATCAGCCGCTGCACTTCTATTTACGCAGCACCCGTGTGCTGTCAGTAAAAGAGGGGTGAACACAAGTCCACCGTGTGTGTGTGTGTGTGTGTGTGTGCGTGTGTGTGGAATGATAGATAAGTAGCCAAATCTTCCTCGATGCGTCTTGTTTGGTGGTGTGAGTAATGCCGCTTATTCGCTCGCCCCATGTAAGCCATCGGAATTGTACACTTCCACGCTGGCTTAATGGTATTCTCTCTGTCTCTCTCTCTCTCACACACACACACACACACACACACACACACACAGAGTGCTGTAGAGGTCTGTAATCTCATTACAGTGCAGGGAAAGGCTGGCCGAGGGCCCCGGCTACGCGATTCACACATGGCATTTTTGGGAGGGAGAGCTCACATCAGACAGACGATGAAGCTCCCGCTGACATTTATCCATTTGACACAACTCACTCTGTCCGTCTGGTCTTTCCTTCCCTGTCTCTCTCTCCTTTTCTATGTTTTTTTTCCTGCCCCTTGCTCTTTAAGTCTGCCCCCTTTTATTTCTCCCAGTTTGATTCCTTTCCTCTCTTTCAGACAGTCTCCATCATCTTTCTCCTCATAAGCCTGTACCAGTTTCAGCAGTAATGGATGGGCTACAGAAAGATATGACATACATGCTGACGTCAACAGTCTAGCATGGCTGCGTTCTGTTTAGCCGATCTCCGCACGGCTGACTGAAGTGTAAAATATTTAGCAGACAAATCCGGTTATTTTTATGCATTGTTTAGCTCCTCAGCCTGGTCTCTAAATTAAGTTCCAGTGTAACAAAACTGTATTATTAATTACGCTCCCAGAGAAATGTGTTTTTGACGTATCACAAATAGGTTTCCAATCAAAGTCCAAAAAAGTCCAAAAAGGGAGGACAGGAACCACCTATAGAGTGCACATTAAAGTTCATTAGGGTCGTGTGCAAACATCTTCATGGAGACGCACTGCTGCAACCCCACGTCCACGTTTGTCTGGCCACAGAAAAAGGTCACATTTCCAGTTCCAAGTTTATATATCTTCTTCTTGAACATAGAACAATATAACCGAATGACCTGAAAATATTTCTGACTATATTTCTGTTTTAAGCAGCTTACAAATGTCACAGCAAAACTATAAATTATGCTCCATCTCACTAAATAATACTGCAAGAGATAAAATGTCAACTATAAAGTATGTCCATACAACACTTTATATTATTAATTAAGGTCTCAATGAACTTTATTGCAGACTTTAAGACACTTTATGTGTTCATATGTGGCAGTATTATGGGTACTATATTTTGCCACATTGTGCCATATAATCTTCCTATTTAAATTAATCTTCGGATTGATGTTATCAGCCTGTCATGAAGAGGCATTGACAAAAAAAATGCAGTTGTTTCACACTTGTTTTAAGTTACAGTTTGTTTTGCAGTGTACCAACATCACCAGGAATTAGCAAAACTGAAAGCCTAGTCATGGTGCCCCTTTTCAGCCGTGTACCCCACCACCATCACCACCTCCTCCTCCTCCTCCCCCTCCCCAACCTCTTCCTCGGCCTGAAGCCCATGCATATCATAGATAAAAAGTAAGTGCTCACCATTATCTGCGGGCACACCGCGTTATATTGTGGATGCTGACATTGCTCTTACCTGGCAGTTGGTGCTTTTACTATATTAATAATGGAGCAGGCGCCATCCATCATGAGGATATGACGCTGCTAATCATGTCAGTTCCCTGCATATTCACTCCTTTCATCGAAAGAGGAGGAGAGGTAGTGGGAGAGAGGCGGGGGGGGGGGGGGGGGAGGAAGAGCGGGAGAGTGACGGTAAGAAAGCAGAGATAAACAAAGAGAGGGGAGATGATGAGGAAGAAGAGGGGAAGAGAGAGGGCGAAAGAGGGAGATGGAAGGGGACAATACCAATGTGCTGAACACATGACAGATGCCCTTGGCCTTTTGCTGAATGGCTTCCCTGTTGGCAGGAGTTAACCAGTGTATTTAAACAGGACAAGACAAATGGGACCTCTACTCCCGCTGCTTACTGAACCAGCCCATTTCTATTCCAACTCACAGCCTTCCCCCATGTGGGAATGCTAATATGGTTAGCTGACATTGGCAGGGTTAAAACTTCATGACAGCGTTTTATTGTAATATTGACTTTACTGTAACTTGCCTATTTTTCCTAACCTTTTACTAACTTCTACTGGGCATTTTTTCACAATTGCGCTGCGAAAACATGAGCCAAAAAAATGCATTTTGTTAAATGCTAAGTTGTAGAAGCTTGGCCTCATAAAAATGGATACTTACATGTTTCCGAAGCTGTTTCACCTGTTTTGAGAAGAACAGAAGACCAGTCTACTCTAACATATTGTAATTGAGCTACCAAAGAGAAGTCGATTTGCATTGAAAACAGCACCTGATGTTCGCAGCAGCACACTCCCCAGCTCGCCTCCACCCATTAGTCTTCTGCAACAGAGGCACCTTGAGTGTCAGTGCTGTGCTTTGCTTCATTTGGCCTCATTTGGCGTAATATGACATCCGCATGCTCTGATGCGCTTTAACATAACATTTACACCAATATGGTGCATTCTCCTCCAGTTCAGATTGCTTCAGCATAGTATTGTTATGACTTCTATGTTTAGAGGAAATAAGGATGTACAAATGTTCCCCCGACATCTGTCCTGGAGCGAGCCTCTTGGCCGGCCTTCGACACAGAAAAGGGAATTTGCTGGTGATTGATGGGCCTGGATTAAATAAAGATAAGATTTTGAAAACGTGGCCATATGTCTGCCGTGTGCGGCATCTCTTTTGGCTCGGAGCCCGGATGCAGAACATCTTCAATATCCTGACGTCTTCTTCATGCTGCTCCTCGATCCGGGGGAAGAGCCCGGGGGAGAAGATGGAGGTGGAGGTGGGCAACGGGTAGGGGCGAGGAGGGGTGGATTTCAGAGCGACAGGCCGACTGAGAAAAGCGATAATGAGCGCTCGGGGCTGTCTAGGGTGCAAACTGCTTTCAGCGCGAGATAGCTGTGAGGGGAAGGGAACGGAGAAGGGGGGGAGGGAGGAAAGGGTGCAGGAGAAAGTGCCCCCTCAGCTGGCTGATGTTTGATATGGCGCTGCTGCTTCCTACGCCGGGAAGAACCAGCAGAAACACCGCCAGTGAGGAGGCCATGAGGGGCAGCTGTTAAGTGCCAATTAGGCGACGATGAGTGGGAGACGGAAATACCCGTTTGCGCACGCTCTCCCGGCGAGCGGGCGGGGAGGAGTAGTCAAAAAGTGAAACAAATAGGGCCTAATCCCTGTCAGCTCTCCCAGAGTCGCTCCCCTCCTCACCCCACTATCTCCCCTCCCGCCTGTTAGCGTCACATCAGTGTCGGATGGAAATGTGTTGCTGTTCCATTTAGTTCTGACTCCGTCTGGCCTCGGCCTCTTCTGAGGGCCACTGAAAGGAGCATTTTGTAAGAGCTTGTCACAAAGGACAATGCCCCGTGTCAGGCATCCAATTAGTGAGCGAATTCACTGATGTATTTAGTCCATGACACACAGAAAATGATAAGGTAGGATCAGCCAAATGTAGCCACTTTGTTCTTAGTTTTAGATACATTTTTCAGTCTTTGGCGGTGTGTGTGTTGCTCATGTTTGAGCTTCATCTGTCTGCATATCTTTGCGTATATGTGTAAACCTTTCCACCTATGGGAGGACGTATGTTTCAGGGGGTGACTTAGCATTAAACAGGAGCCGTGAGGTCAAGAGGGAGCCATGGCTTTAGCCAAGCGGCTGACCTTGTTTGCAGCAAAAGACGACATTGACGCACAGACTGACTCCGTCTGTGTCATGGTACTCAAGCCGCATGATTTTCTGTCCTTTTGTTCACATGAAGCCGTACAACACTCCAAATTACCTTGGATCCATAATGGCCTCAAATTTGAATGTGCCATTCATCATCAGGGTCGCCGAGAGTGAATGAGTCTTTTCATGTCCGAGCTCCCAGTCGGTCTCGTTTCTATGCACGCCGCACATCTGAGGCCTTACTAATTTCCCCCGGCTGCCGCCTCGGATCTGCCCGCGCCACACTGCGTTTTGTATATTCATGTGTGTACCTTCCTATCTTAATCCTAGCTATTACTCGCATGGCTGGCCATGTCAAGGGGAGATTTGCTCACTCACAGCGAATGGGCCAATATTGACAGCACGCCCACCGCATCAGCGATCAGTGTAAGGGCTTAGCGAGCACTAGATTCGCAGGTTTGAAGCTGAGTCCAATGAGGAGGGTGGTGTGTTAGAAAACAATGCTCACAGGGGATCTATG